CCATAGTTTTTTTAAATAAATTTTTTTCTTGAGACACCATAGGCCTTTGAACATAAATGTCTTGAATTAAACTTTAAATAATCATTAACCCTTAAAATAATTTGTATTAACTGGATCTTGAGTGTCAAAGACATTAGCAAGAGATAGTTTTGTTGTAGAAGAACCTATAGAAAACTACTTGATTCTAGTCCAGGTATAAGAATACACATTAACTTTCAAATAAATCTTTGTAGAACCTCCTAATATGAAACAGTTGCAACTTCTCAGTTAATCATGATCTTTAAAAGAATATTCTTACCTATTCTGAAATTAACTCTTCAAAAGGATAGCTGAATAGCTTTGTCTCTCGCATGCCCCCATGTGTTCTCTGCAGTTCTGTCATGCGTACTTCTGTTCCATTGCCCTGTCCTCTCCCCACTCAAGACTTGGTCAAGCTCGTCCTTCTGGTCAAGTCCTGTTTCCTTCTCCATGGGGTCTGCCTGGTATTCCTGTTGGCCCTTCTAAAGTACCAACCTCCTTTGAGAAATGGTTTCTTTTTTTTTTTTTTTTAAGATTTTATTTATTTGACAGAGAGAGAGATAGCGAGAGTAGGAACACAAGCAGGGGGAGTGGGAGAGGGAGAAGCAGGCTTCCTGCCGAGCAGGGAGCCCGATGTGGGACTCGATCCCGGGACCCCAGGATCATGACCTGAGCCGAAGGCAGACGCTTAACGACTGAGCCACCCAGGCGCCCGAGAAATGGTTTCTAACTGTCTTCTTCCCACCGAGGCTGGGGTACACATGAGATTCTATAAATGAAAGTCCGAAAGAACCATGTACATTTGGGGCAGTTTGTATTATTACGTGTGAGCAAAGGAATGACTTGATCCAAACAATGCTTTAGGAAAATGAAATTGGCAAAGATCGAGATTTCTCCCCTGCTTTTTTCTTTTATATCTTAATATTTTCTTTTTAAAAATTTTATTTATTTATTTGATAGAGAGCACAAGCAGAGGGAGCAGCAGAGGGAGAGGAAGAAGCAGGCTCCCCGCTGAGCAGGGAGCCTGAGTCAGGGCTCCATCCCAGGACCCTGGGATCATGACCTGAGCCGAGGGCAGACGCTTAACTGATTGAGCCACCCAGGCGCCCCTATATCTTAATATTTTCAAATGAGCTATCACATAAGCCAGAAGAAAGCATTAAACATTATGGATACAAAAGAATGATTATCATATTCACATCCAGTCAAAAAATAAAACGTTCCCTTTCACCCCTCTCATGTTTGGCTTCCTGGATCACAACCCTCGAGGTAAATGCCCTTCCTACTCTTGTGATAGTTATTTCCTGGCTTTACTTGACAGCTTCAGTTGGGTGTATGAATGATATAATTTACTTTGCCTGACTTTGAACTTTTATATAAGGAAGTAAGCCCCATATGATCTTCTGTGTCTTGCTTCTTTTGCTCACCATTGTGAAGGTTACCCATGTTGTTGTGTGCAGCTGAAGTTTGTTCCTTTTCATTGCTGTATAGTATTCTATAGTTTACATATGCTGTAGTTTGCCCATTCTACTGTAGATGGATACCTGTAGTCCTTCCAATTTGGACTATAATAGAGTGTAGGTCAGAGCATTCTTTTATATATATATATATCTCCTGGACTACATATGCAACATTTCTCTAGGTCAGTGTCTCTCAGCCTTTTTTCTTTTATTACCTCTCCTAAGGAGAAAACTTAATTAATTTTAAACTAAAAATTATAAATTCAAATTAAATTAATTAATCCTAAAGAGTAGGATTTTGTTGGGTAGAGTTGAGCTTTGGAAGGCTACAAGCCATTGTGATAGTCAAGATTTTTTCACTTATCAAAAATCAAATTTTGTTCTTTTGTGGGAATAATATTACCCCTATTGAAAATGCACTTTCTAGGTTATATAACTAAGGTCAGAATTGTTGGGTCGTGGAAAATGTGAATCTTCAACATTTTTAGATCATGGCAAACTGTCTTTCAGTACCAATTAAATTGTACCAATTTAAGTCATTACTAGTAGTATATGGGAGTTTCTGTGGCCACATATCCTTGCCAAAATCCTGGTACTGTCATATTTAAAATTTTTTGCCAATCTGTTAGATGTATAACAATATGACATTATGCTTTTTTAAAAATTTGTAGTTTCCTAATCATCAGTGAGGTTAAACAGCTTAGGTTTATTACTTATTTGGATTCCTCTTGCCTGATGGTTTATTTCTCTATTTTAACTCTAAAAATTCTTGTATGTTCCACTTAATGTAGCCCCTGTTAAAACACTATAGGATGGCCTAGTTATTCACTTGAAAAATACAGTGAAGCCCAGAGAACTGTGTTCTAATCCCAACGAACTATTTGTCTTAGAGTCCCATATCTCTGCAACTTAGTGTCCTCATATACTAAATAAAGGTATTGACTGGGTTAGAGGGGTGGTTCTCAACCCTGGCTGCCTATTCGAATTGTCATTTCAAAAATATCGATGTTTAAAGCATACCTCTACTAGAAAGTCTGATTCAGTTGGATTAGAGATTTCTATATCCCTTCCAACCTAACATTCCATGATATTGATAAAATAGTCTTTGAATCATCTTTCTTGTGTGTTCCCTAAATTAGGTATGCCCGGGGACTATTTCTCTGTCGAACTGTAATCTCTTTTTGTAAATGAGTTATAAAGAGGAAGAAACTTGGGGCACCTGGGTGGCTTAGTCAGTTGAGCATCTGACTCTTGGTTTCAGCTCAGGTCATGATCTCAGGGTTGTGAGATTGAGCCCTGCATTAGGCTCTGCACTCAGCGCGGAGTCTGCTTGAGATTCTTTCTCTCTCTCTCCCTCCTGCTAGTGTTTTCTCTCTCTCTGAAATAAATAAATAAATAAATAAATAAATAAATAAATAAATAAATAAATAAATAAATCTTTAAAAAAAAAAAAAAGGAGGAAACTCCTTAATTTGGTCCACAAAAGGAAAGGTAGTGTCAGTGTTCAAAAAAAAAATTTTGTAGCTGATTTACTTACAACACTAATATGGTTTTCTCTTGTTGATACCTGTCATAACAAAATACACATCCAAAGACAATGCTAAGAAATCATAAATGAGCCTTTGAAAGAATGAGGCATATGTCAGCTTATGGTGTCTGGGCCGAATACAGCCTCATAAAGCTGAACTCATGAATTCCTGACTTTTGGTTTTGTTTTGTTTTTTTTTTAAAGATTTTATTTATTTATTTATTTGAGAGAGAGAGAGAGAAACAGCATGAGAGGGGAGAGGGTCAGAGGGAGAAGCAGGCTCCCCGCTGAGCCAGGAGCCCGATGTGGGACTCGATCCCAGGACTCCGGGATCATGACCTGAGCCGAAGGCAGTCGCTTAACCAACTGAGCCACCCAGGCGCCCCCCTGACTTTTGGTTTTTTGATATAAGATTCTATCCCATTGCCAGAAACCAGACTTTCACTTCCAGTCAGACAAGGGGCTGCTCAGGCCTAGAACCAAGGCACGAAGTGAACCAGCTGTGCTCCAGGAAGAGTGGGTCAAAACCACTGCTCTCCTGGAGTGCGCGTGGGCCAGTGGGTGTTAGGGCTACGGAGGGGTACTGCAAGAGGGCATTGTACCATTCCATGTACCTCCGTGTGTCTTCAAAAGTCCCCCAGATGAGAAGTTTTTTAAGAAACCCCTCTCCTGGTGTCCAGTCAGCCATGTTTTCTTGTGCCCATCTGCCTCTAATAACATGTGATTGTATGTGATCAATATCTGACACTTGTGTGGCACTTGTGTTTTCCAGAGTGTTTACTTGCATTTACTCAGTTGGTCATCATAGCAATCATTTTCAGAGAAATGCCTTTGGTAGCCATCTAGACCCAGGTTATGATGGCAGAAACCAAAAGCTCAAATTGGCTTTAACATATATGAAGAATGTATAGCTAAGCCATGGAATCTTGGCTCCAGGGACTCTACATAGAGGGGTTTAATGTCACAACCATCTTTCTCTTTATTGCCCCCCTTTGTTGGCACTGTTTTCTCTCTCTGCAAACAGGTTCTTTCTTTCCCATTTAGCAAAAAACAAAGCCTCAGGCAGTTCCAAAATCTCATTCTTCCTTTAGGAGTATCTTCTCCGGTGGCTCCAGAAGGGAAACCCTGGGACACAGACTGTGACTGACCTGGCCTGAGTCATATATATGCCTTCTCTGGACCACTTGCAGTAGACAGGGATGGGCTGCCGTGACTGGCCAGCTTGGGCCACAGGCAGGGTGTGGGGATTGGCAGCCTCCCTCAGAACCATGTGGTTAGTTAGGGTGAGAGCAGCATTGTCCCCTCCAAAGGAGGGGCTAGTCCCCAGATTTGCCCCCCAAGCTTGACTTACTCTGCTTTCTGAATTTACCTCATCTTCTCACCTAACCACCGGTACCCCTAAGCACTCTTTATTCATTGAGCCCTTAACAAACTAGCTGCTCAGTCTCCCTCACAACCAGCCTTCAAAGGGAGAAAGAATTTTCTCCCAGATCGAAGCATAGGGGTTCTCCCTTTCTCTCTAGTACACAAATGTCTAATTCTAGGTTCACACTCAGCTATTCCTTCTCCCAAGCTCCCACACAGCATGGTAAGGCCACACCTCCTAGGGTGGGGAAGGGTCATGCTCTGGTTGCCTCTGCCAACCAAGTGGGGACAGGGGAGCTGTGGACAGGGGCCAGTGTGCCACTTCATCTTTCAGTCCAGATGCTGATGGTCAGTAACAGTGTCACTGCCTCAAGATATGGGCCTTTAGTCTCCTCTGCAGTCTAAAAAATTACTTACCATGCTGAAACTTGTTGATAAACCCAGATCTGTAATTAGGAACATAAATGACACAATACAGGCTTCGCACAAATGAACAGTTGTGGGGTATTATGGGCCCCTGTGGATTATTTGACTGAAGCAAAGGAGGGGGGAAAGCTGGTTGCTGTTGAACAAATTGCTACCAGATGTAGATTTCAATAAACACCACACTGTTGTTCCTTTGCCCGAAGGTGCTATGAATTTCTTGAGGCAACAGAGCAATCAGTAAACTGGTGACTGTTCCAACATGAATGGAGCCTCCTGGTGTTCCCTGGTCCTGAGTGTTTGTCCACAAAATGCAAGGCAGACCCAGGGGCCTCTCTCCCCTACCTGAAGTTTTATAGGTGAGTGATGTTCTTAAAATGCAGCAACCAGATCCTGTGGAACCTAAAAGAAGCCCGGAACTATGGTTGGAATGTCACAAAAAGAACCCATCAGGGTGGGGAGAGGGGGATGCTTTAAGAGAATAAGGATCAGTGGTTTTTCTTACAGATGTTACTTGTAATAGCCATGGGATGAACCTGCCTCAATCAATAAATATGTGAGAGCCTACCCATGCCATATGATGAAGAAAGCCCACTTTTCTTCTCTTCCCTGAACTTACAGTTGAGAGGCGGAAGGGCATTCAAGCAGTAGTTAAAAATAAAAACTAGCCTTCAGTGTCCTGCCAGGGAGTCCTGTGTGAACTTGCAACATGGAAGCAGCTTGTCCACCTTCACCAGCTGTTGCCATGGGCCGGCCAGCACATGAGCCTGAGCATTTGAGACTGGAAGGTCCCAGAGCCATCAAGCTACTTTGCTATACCTTGAAGGGAATAGAAAGGGGGGAGAGAGAGAGATGAAGGAGATTGAGAGATGGAGGGAGAGAGAATGTGATTGATTTTAGTTTAGTATACTAACTAGCTTGTCATGTTCCATAGAATAGAGTGATTTCCCTGAGCCTTCTCTTGGTTATGGCTCTTTAATAAAAAGTTAAGCACCAAATGTATGGTTGGCCTAAATCCAACATATATGTCTGCATCACTGTGTGGTTCTCTGATCCTCTCTTTTCAGTTAGATGTTCAGCTTTTTGAGGACAAGGACCACCTTGCCCCCTTATCGTTTTTGACTAACAGCTGCTTTGCACATAAGGTATACATGGGTTGAATGCCGCCCCCAAAAAAGGAAGTTTTACATGAACAACACATCAGCTACTGAGATAGCGTTTTTGTTTTGAATTGTATGTAGGAGGTTGAGGGGCAGAGGATCTAATTGGAAGTCCTGGGCTTGAATTAAGTTTGTATTTGGCCCTCAGTTGACAAATCTCTGCCTCCACTTGAACTCTGGGGGGCTCCCCCTCTCACAGGGTGGTCTGTCTTCTTTGGACAGTGATGATATGATGGCTAACTTCTGAGAACTTACTGTGTTCCAGATATCATACTAAGCATTTATTTGGATTATCTCATTTAATCTTCACAACCACTTTATTTTACAGAGGAGGAAATTGAGATGCATACAGCTAAGTTGTCTAAGTTCACGTAGCTAGTAAGTGTCGGAGCCAAGTAGTTTGGCTCCAGAGCCTGTGTTCTTAACTACTGCTTTTTTGGGCCTGCCTATAGCTAGTTGTATTCCTCTTATAAATGGCAGACCTTTGTATGTTTGGCCATGCCTCCCAAACTTCTGTTCTCCAGATTTGTGCTTTGATAAATCATCATGGTCTATGGGTCCTACCTTTTCAAGTCAGAAACTGGGTTTTGCCAGAGCATGAAGACTCTCAGGGTTTAATTCCCAACAGCTAAACTCATAAGAGTTTGATATGTAAGTGAGGCTGTTTAATTTGTTCTGTCTGCCACTCCCCATATGTACCTGGCGAGACGGTGATCACAAGATTTCATGATCAATGGAGCTGTGATACCCCAAGTACAGCAGGGATCTGCTTTCCAGTGAGATCACCTCGCTAATTTCTGGACAGCAGCAGAGACATTAACAAATTCTTGCACGAATTCTGAGACTTTTTCAAAATCCACATGGACCCTGTTACCATCTATGAACTATCTTCTAGAGTTATGTAGGTTGTAGCTTTCTTAATTAAAATAGATCTCCAGATATCACTCCTTTGTCACTTTGATTGAAGATGGAAATTCCCAATCTCTTCAACTGCTTTTCTACAGTCTCTTCAGATGACTAACTTCCACACATGGCTAATGTCCTCCAGGGCATATTATTTCTGCAGGGCTAACCTTATTTTCAAGATGTGCAGAGAGACCTCAGTATATCGCCCCCCCTCGGATATGCTAACTACGGTCATTATCACACAGGAAATTCCCAGATACCTTACTGGAAACTTGAGAAAAATATTCCTTTGGTGGGGGTGGGGGGGAGAGTGTGTGTGTGTGTGTCTGTGTGTGTGTGTATTTTAATTCCAGTATGGTTAACATACAGTGTAATACGAATTTCAGGTGTAAAACATAGTGATTCAACACTTCCATACATCACCTGGTGCTCATCACCACAAGCGCACTCCTTAATCCCCATCACCTATTTAACTCATCTTCCACCCACCACCCCTCTGCTAACCATCAGTTTGTTCTCTACTCCTTGATTTCAGTGGAAAGAAAAAGGCAAGCTGGGTGCATTTAAAAATAACCCCAAACGTCTGAGTCTGCTAAAGACCAAATCTTTTGAAAAGGGCAGGTCAGGTACAGGTGCTTGATCAAATAGGAGTAAGGATAGACATTTGTAGGCCCAATCAGCACGTGAGATGGAGCACTGGGTACCATCTACCCAGTAGAGTTGAACCCAAAGGGAAGTGATGGGCCTTTTGGCCTGAGTATCCCACTGGTACAAAGGGCCTCTGCCAGCTAATATGCATGTGGCTGTTAATGCCCAAGAGGAAACACTGTAGAGTTCGGCACTCAGCAATTGTTGAACCGTGAGTAACTGGAAGGCAGGCACTGGATTTTAGTTAAGTCTGTGATTCCAGCACCTGGTGTGAGAGCTGTACATAGAAAATGCAATAAAGGGTCTTTTAAAAAAAAAATGATATTCAATTTATATAAAATATCCAGAATAGGCAAATCTGTAGAGACATAAAGTAGATTGATAGTTGCCAGGAGCTGGTGGTGGTGGTGGGTTAAGGGGAGGGGGGAAAGTTGAGGGAAAATAAAGGAATAATTGCTAATAGGTACTAGGTTTCTTTTGGAGATGATGAAATGTCTTGGAATTCTATCGTGATGATGGTTGCACAACTCTGTAAATATACTAAAGTCACTGAATGGCACACTTTAAATGGGCGAATTTTATGTTATGTGAATTATAGCTCAATAAATTTCATATAAAAATGAATGGGAAGGTGAAACTCATAAAAAAAAAAATGCCCACTAGACATCAAGCAGACTATGGTAGGGAAAAGACTAGGGGCATTCTGAAAAGCAAATTAACTTACGCTAATTTGATCTACTAGAGTCCTTTGGAGTTAGCCCTTGAGGACTGGAGAATCAGTTAACTAGTTTACATTTACATAACCAGTTAACTAGTTTACACAGGCTTGATACCCATAATAAAGAGCATTTTAAAGTTGAGTCACCTTAGGGTAGAGAATTTGTTAAGATTGGGGGACTGAGGTTTACCGGGTAAAGTCAAAGAGCTGAACACTTTATTAGAACAGCAAGTATTACAGATATTAGTGTTTAGACCCATTCTGTTTAGTATTTTTTATGCACAGTCAATCTCCAAGTTACCAATAATATTCCACAGTTCACCAGCATTCAATAAGCACCTACTCTGTGCCAGTTGGCAAACCAAGGGAGGCCCAGTTCTTGCATGCTGGAAGTGCATAGTCTCCTGGGTTCCCGCAGGCCCAGTTCCAGTCCGGTAGGGGATAGGCCCACTGACTGCCCAACTGAGCAATCTGGGAAACCCAGAGAGGATATTGCAAACAGCCCCTCCTTTCTTACCAAGCATGGAGTATCTGCAGCGATTTCCACCATGCTTAGAGAGCCACAATCCGATGAGAACATTCACTGTACAGTAGAAGGAGGGGTGGTCACTTCGATGTTGAGGGGGCTGAGAGGTCTGTGGATTCCCGGGGAGAGCAGAGGGAGTCATGGACCTTCTTGCCATGGGGCCTGAGCACTGGATGTCCTTGAAATGCAGAAAGTCCTGTCCACAAACTTTATTAACTTTTTTTCCACCTAAAAACAAGCCAAGAAGTTTCATAGTAATCCAGAATCATCTTCACAAAAGATAATACAAGAAAACTCAGGGATAAAAAGATATGCTTGCTAAAAAAGACAATTTCCCAGCTTCGGCTGGTCCTTGGAGCCAACAAAAGCAAAGCCTCATCAGTATTTAATGAGAGAGAGGGAACAGCTAGAAAGGGGTGGAGAAGTAGACAGAAGGAGGCTATTTAAAAGGCCCTAAAGTGCTGCAGCTGTTTTGGCTAATTTTTCTCATTTCAGTGATGTTCCAAGCTCTTTGTCTTCTCTGTGGGGCGAATTCATTTGTGTCTCTCGTGAGTCATCCTGCCCACAAATAATCTCTCTTGGAGTAGCCCTTATGAAAACAGACAATTCACATTGCATTGTGTGAACTGGCAGTTGTATGTCCCTTCCCTGGGTGGGCTGCATTGCGTCTGCTCTGCCTGCATCCACACATGTCAGGACTTCTAAGGTCTAGCATACCCTCAGTATGCTCAGTGACAGGAGGGCACAGAAGGAGACATCTGGACTCCCCGACTGAGTCAGGCAGGGAAGGCTACAGACAGCAGGCCCTGGTCAGCTGACTGCTCCCTCCTAAAGGTTTCTAGATCTCATAGATGTAACTTTCCCCACAAGAGTTTTAGGGTATGGAAAAGTAAACATCAAAGGAAATTCCGTGTAAGTAAACATTACTGTCATTCCAACCTGGATCTTGCAAATTGAGCTTTTCCTTTTAAGATAGTATTTTCTTTACTATCTGGCCTGCAAATCTGACCAAACAGCATTTTTCTTTAAGATTTCCATAGGGAAACACGGAGCTCTTCAGAGACTACAATGGATGTCTGTTGTTTGCTGCTTAGCAAAATTTACTTTTCCCTAATGATCACGTTGGTTTTATTCTGAGAGACCATCTAGGACGTTACTTTCATCCCATGTGCTTTTCTGGTGGAGTTGGCTCCACCCTTGGCTCAGGGTTGGAGTGTGTAATTGTGGCCCAGGTCAGTCAGTACATCATATTTCCCTGGCCGTGATGATTGGTGCAGAACTGGGCATCTGACCCAGTCATGACCAATGAGATCTACTGAGCCTTTGGCTTAGGAGCTGGGGTCAGGGCTTGGAGCTTTGCCAGTGTGAGCTCTGGGCTGGGGCAGCTCTCTAGCGATTATG